AACAAATTACACTCGAGCAATGCCAACGTACTGGACAGCTTAGAAAACTTAAAATAATTGTGTCTTTCCAAGGGAGTTTAAAGATTAGAACACTAACAAGAGTGTTTTCAATTTTTTTTTAATGATAAACAATTTCTTTGAAAAACACACTTTTCCGAGGAATAAGCCAAGGTGTTTTTCAGTTCTCGTCATCTATTTAATTTGGCTCTTACATTTGCTGGTGTCGTTCTGAAAACTGCCCAAAGACGCTGTTGTGGTTTAACCCTGGTGGGCACCTAAACACCACGCAGCCGCTCGCTCACTCCCCCCAGCAGGACGGGGAGGGGCAAGAGAACTGGAAGAGTAAAAGCGGGAGAACTCATGGGTTGAGATAAGAGCAGTTTAATAATTGAAAGAACAATAAATGAAAAGGAAAATAACAAAAAGGGAGAAATAAAACCCAAGAAAGACAAGCTACGCCAACAAAAAACAACTGCTCACCACCAACTTGCCAATGCCCAGCCGGTCCCAAGCGGCGACTTTCCAACCTTCCCCCTCGCTCAAACGCAGAGCGTGACGCCGTAGGGTCTGGAACATCCCTTTGGGCAATTGGGGTGAGCCATCCTGGCTGTGCTCCCTCCCAGCTTTCTGTGTCCCCCCCCCAGCCCTCGCTGGCAGAGCGGTGGGAGGAGCGGGAAAGGCCTTGGCGCTGTGCAACCACTGCTCAGCAGTAACGAATCTAGCCCTGTGTTACCCACGCTGCTGTTTCCAGCACAAATCCAAACCACAGCCCCATGTCAGCTACTGTGAAGAATATTAACTCTGCCCTGGCCAAACCCAGCACAGAAGCGTCTGTTTGCAACAAGGAAAAAAAAGGTCAAGTGTCTCATTTCAAGCTTGCCAATCATCAAACTCTCCAGTCCAAAGCAAAGACATCTTGGAAGAGACTGGCCCTGACAAAAATCTTCATCTGGAGAAGAGCATAAACCCGAGTATGGAGCATCCTCAATGCAGAGGAGCTTCGCCAATCACTACCATATGCTTTTCCTCCCAAGAGCTTTGGCCTACGCTACAAGGACACGATTAATTCGTCGTACCCTGTGATCTCTGCACAGGAGCCAAACAGCCCTTACAAAGAATACAAGCCGCCACATTTCTGCCAGGGAAACGTGGGTTTACAGCATCAGAATCATTCCGTGCCCTGCGCTTTCCACTGTCCAGTGAGGTGTGCAGACACAGGGACACCCACGGCGAGGTGCACAGACACAGGGATGTCCAGGGTGAGGTGCACAAACAGACGTGGGGACACCCATGGCGGGGAGCATGGACGGACACGGGGACACCCACAGCGGGGCGCACAGATGCCCACGGGGACACCCACAGTGGGGTGCTCAGATGGACACAGGGACACTCATGGCGGGGTGCACAGACATGGGGGCACCCACGGTGGGGTGCACAAGCGGACAGGGGGACACCCTCAGTGGGGAGCAGACGGACACGGGGACACCCTCGACGGGGCGCACAGATGGACAAAGGGACACCCTCGACGGGGCGCACGGACGGACACGGGGACACCCTCGACGGGGCGCACGGACGGACACAGGGGACGCCCAGGGCAGCCCTCCCCCCTTTATCTACTTTGATGTCACCGGTCCTGACCCCCCGCTCCGCCTGCACCTGGGGGACCAGGCCACCCCCGGTCACCCACCCACTCCCCAGCCAGGCACCAGCCTCAG